AGTTTGGCCCAGGAAGGCCGGACCCAGTGTTGGGTGATGAGCTGCCCACTGGGAAGTCCAAGGCTAGAGTGAACACGGACCGACAAGTGGGGTAGCTTGGTGAAGTGTTCAAGAGCCGGCTCTAGTTCCCCCGGGAGATCGACTGGCCGATGCTCCCAGTCCAAGTGTGGGTGGCACTACCTACTTGGATACCTGGTGTGGCTCAATGGAACCCGCTCTAAGCCCATGGCTAGAGCACCCAAGGGCAGAAGGCGAGGAGAGTACCCAGGTGGCTCGCGTAAGGCCACGGTGTTCCGAAATGTTGTCCCAAAGGCCCAGACTGTGGAAAGGAAGAGGAGCAATCCTCTGGGGTAGTGACCAAGGACACAGTCATGTGGTGAGGAAGTCCCAGAGGACCGTGGGACTTAGTGGTCGGGCCTGTGGGCCTCGATCCAGTGGCAGTGTTGGCAAACACAGCCAGGGGCAGAAGGGGACTTGGTAGGAGCTGACAAAGGGACTTTGGGGAAGGCGATTCCCCAGGTCTGTGGGCATCCTAAGGATGCTAAGGAGTGGATCTAGGATGACCACTCGTGGACACATGGCCCAGTCTTGGAGAGACGAGGTGGTGATGCAAGTGGTGTTGGACCACTAGTGCAACAAAGGTGAATGGGCATGGCCTTAGCGTAACAGGCCGAGATGTCAGTGGTACCTTTGGGTGTCGGTCTCGGGACCGGACACGTGGAGCACTTGGACCAGGTGCAAGTGTGGAGTGGCATGGATGCCATTCTTGGGGCTAGCAAGTCCCAAGTCCTGAATTGGACTGATGGAGGTTGTGAATGAGACTCCTCCAAGTGGTCGGAGGTGTGGTTAAGTGACTAAAGTAGAATGGAAAATTTAGTCGCTTACAACTTGGTATCAGAGCTGTTCCTTAGTTCGACTTTTATTGGTGCTCAAGTATATCACCACTAGTGTTGGCATCGGAAGGTCCGAGGAGTGGGCCTATCCTTGAGGAGTAGCAAGTCGGGAAGACATGGCTCTCCATTACAGTTCATGTGTGAACTTGTAGACGAGATGGTGGATAGAAAAGGGTCAATAATGGAACGACTTTGGGATCTTGGGAACAGCATATGGTTTTCCTCAAAGAGTTGAGGATGTGATCCAGATGAGCGTTTGACTTAGCAAACTGGCTAATGTAGTTGCTAAACCCTAAACCCTAAACCCTAAACCCTAAACCCTAAACGTGTTGGCTAATCACAATTCCAAAATCCTAAACACTTTCTAGCTCAAAAGCATCAAAGAGGCTTCACAAGCCCCACTTTGTTGCAAAAAGCATTCCTAAATCGGCTCTTCCATTCTCCAATCCATTCTCCAATTCATTCTACTAATTCATTGTCTCTGTTAGATCACAGTTCCAGGATTACATCTGTTGCTGCTAGATCGCTGGATTGCCAGAAAGTCCCAATCACCAGATTGCAACGAGTATTGGATCATGGCCAGGAACGAAGAGTAAGTAGACGTGCTAATAATCCAGAAAAAGCTCAATCTAGCTCTTTATGGGACGCCCAAAAAAGGAGCCCTGCGCACCAGCACTACCAGCAGAGAATCGGCCCAGAATCTAGGGCTACAAAGAATGGGTGTAACTTAGTCAAGGATGTCCTGCTCTCAACCTTGACCGTCTGGAGGCTTGAGGGTGGATTTCTTGCACTAGTTCCCTGTGAAGAATTTATGGGTGTAACTCAGAGAAGGATCTCCTGCTCTTCTGCTGACCGTCTGGAGGCTTAAGAACAGATTTCTTTCACTAGCTCCCCATGAAGGATGCAACGTGGATCTACACTCTCACCAAATGACTTCATTATGACTCACCAAATGGCTGAAACCCTTCACCAAATGGCTGATCGTATGTTGCCACGTAGAATTAATCATCCATATATATATATTTCTTCTTAGGGATCTCAATCCCTTACACTTTCTGCTCGCTGTGACGGTCTGTGAGTAGTAGGCATGCAAGCTTCTAGCCCTTTTTCTTCATCTTCATCGCCACTTAGTCATAGTTTAAGTGCTGGAGTGCCCTTGAATCTCATCTGTTCTATCAACGCTGCTGCAGATCAGGAGATACCAACGAATTCCCGGTCCCCCACACCGGAATTCTCACCTCCTGAGTCAAGGCAGAACACACAAGACACGCTCGTCTTGCCTTCCCAACAGACACTTGTCTTGCCTTCTCAGCGTGCACAAGCTCCTCAATCTCATCGTGGACTGTGGCCGAATTTCTCTCACCGGGACGTTCGCTCATACCTCATCCGGGACTCTGGTCCAGGACCGATTGAGATTGAAGACACAGCTGCAACTTCTGGAGTAATGCATGACCAGTGTTCTCTTCCTCTTATGGCAAATGCTCCTCCATCACCTCCTCACATCGCTTCATCATCTCGTCAAACACCAAATCCTCCACCATCCAATTCCATTCATGGATCAGCCCCTATTCACGGATTTACACTCTCATCTCGTATCATACCATCTTCTTCCTCCACACCAAATACAACGCTGTCTTCCA